ATTTTCCCCACCCAAAAATGTATTGGGCTAATGGGCCGGCGAGGTGTTTAATGGGCTGCGTGATGGGTGATGATACTTTGTGGGGAAACGTGATAATAAACACCCTCCATTGGTGCATGGATCGATGCAAACTTTATATTAAATCAAAATAAATAAATGCGTAGTGTATTGATATGGAACTGCGTGCGTAGTAATATTGATGCATGGCTCGATGCAAATTTTATGTCAAATTAAAATAAATAGATGGGTAGTGTGTTACAAGGGAATCGCGAGCGTAGTAAAATTGGTGCGTGACTCGATGCAAATTTTATGTCAAATCAAAATAAATAAATTGGTAGTGTATTAATATGAAACCGTGTGCGTAGTAATGTTGGTGCGTGGCTCGATGCAAATGTTATGTCAAATCAAGATAAATAAATAGGTAGTGTATTGTTATGGAACTGCGTGTGTAGTAAAATTGGTGCATGACTCGATCCAAATTTTATGTCAAATCAAAATAAATAAATGGTGTGTGACTCTTCAACTTTGTACTTTTATAACAATAATCATACGTTTATTTTATTATCTTTAGAATATTTACATACGAATCAAGTACATTCATTAATATACGTCATTTTTTCTTATTACGAAATCACTATAACTATTACACTCATCTAAATTACTAGCCGTGCAACGCACGGGTACGGATCTAGTTAGTTTAGAATAGCAAACTTTTCCTAATAAAAAAAAGAATAGGAAATTCGTGGAATAAAAAATAACTCAAACCCTTGTTAGTTATTTGTCTTATCTAAATCATTTATTTTGGATAATTAGATACGGACTAAAAATATAAATCATATTGAATATACAAAATGTTATGTAAGAGTATTTTTGTTTGGTCGAAATATCATTATATTACTTAAGTATAATTTTTCTTTTAACTAAGATTAATAAAAACTAGCGTTTCATTTCTTCTTATATTTGTTACATGTATCACTGACGTACAATTCAAAACAAAACAAATTGTTATATGATTGATTGGTTTTAAAAAATAAAGAAAAAGTGCGAGTCAAAAAAATTAAAAATACAATTTGGTATAAAATATAATGACATAAAAGAAAATAAAAAGAAATTAAAAATTAAAAAGTAGAGTATACATTTTCTAAATAAAATATGAAATTTATAAAAAAAAAATAATCAATTTAACTTTTTTTATTTTTTAAAATCTTTTTCAAAAATTTTCCAAACTCCTTAGATTTTTTTTTCAAACTTCTAGTTTTTTTCTAACTCATTTTTGTTTTTCTAAATACTTAGAGTTTCTTCCAACTTTTTTCAATTCTTTCCTACTCCTGCCAGCCAGTTTTGATAGACCAACTTCTATCTAAGAACTGTCGGTTCTAAAATTAGGCCGTGTCCAACCCTACACCTAACCATACCTATAATGCCCATGCCCAAATCATTCTTTATGTAACAAATCAAAGATGTCAAAAACAGACAGATCATGCCATTTAAACACGAAAGTTCCAAGTCAAAAAAAGCACTTCCTGCTGCGTCCCCCCTCTCTGTGAGTGTATTAGGTGGGAGGTTGAAGAAGATGGGTTTAGTCTTAGGCCTTAGTTAGTCCTTTTTAATGGCGGAATTGCAGCTCCTGTATGAACTAAATATATAGCCCCTCCCCCTCTTCACAAGCCTAAATTGTTCCAGATTTTACAAAGGAATTCGGATACCCGACGTTCCCAAATATCCTAAGAGGGGCATTTCGCCGGGTCCCAGAAACGTCACGTTTCATATCTATCTCCCATTCAATCAATCCTCCACTCTCTCTCATCTGTCAATTTCTGAACCACCAAAAGCTACAGCTCTAGAGAGATCTGTTGGTCTGGAGAAGATGACTTCGTATTTGAGGAAGACAATCCAGAATGCGATTGGTTCCTCCGGCGAGAAGGAGAAGACGACGAAGAAGGAGAATCAGGAGCCTGCGGAGGAGGCATCTGACAGTGGGAGCAGCCATGAGAGTGACTGCAATGGAGTGGAAGAGGTAGAGCGCAGCAAAATTGGGATCATCAGAGCCCTTCTCCGGAAGGAAGGCCCTTCCCTTCAGGTTAAATCTCTTTTGCTCAATCATTCGTCTTTGGTGTTCGTTGTGTTGTTTGAAGATCATTCACTCCTCGTGATCTTGGTCAATAAGATACTTGGGCTGAACCACATCAAAAGATTGAATCTAATCGATTACTTAGTTCAACTCAAAAGCTTAGCTTATATGCCGATTATTTTTTTATTCAACTTCCGATATGGGATGCACTCTAGCACTTTTGGATAACATGAATACATCATGTTACGAGTCCCAAAATAACTCTATTCCCCAAAGCACTTGTGTTGTGTCTGAATCGCTAAATGGTGCGGAGTACGTATAATATTAACAATAAGCAAGGTGAATTTGCACTACCATTTTCATGTTTTCTTCTTTAAATTGTGTGAAGAATTTTTAGGTTGAGAGTGAGGAAAATGGCACTAATAAGAAGGGATTAAGATTTCGGGTGGCTTTGATTTATTAACGGTTATGAAATGGTTCAAAAGCCTAATTGGTGTTTATTATGAAGCGTAGGAGGAGGACGTGGATGACCCAACGATTCGTAGATTTTTACGAGCTAGGGATCTTGATGTTGAGAAGGCTTGTGCAATGCTTCTCAAGTACTTGACATGGAGGAGAGAGTTTGTGCCCAAAGGCTTCGTATCTCTTTCTGAAATCCAAAATGACATTGCCCAAAACAAGCTGTTTATGCAAGGAAACAACAAGCTTGGCCGTCCTATTGTGGTTGTCTTTGGTGGCCGTCATAAGCAAACAACCGTGGATGAGTTCAAACGTACACAAAACCTCGTATTCTCTACCACTATTATTATGTTGTCTTCCAAACTCTCATATAGCCAATATACATTGCCTACTCCTTTGATTCACTTTTAGCTGACCATTCTCAGTTTTGTGATGCTAAATCAGAAGTCGAATGAATATGGACATACGTCGTGTCTACATTCGTTCATTCTTAAATGAAACAAGAAAATTATAATGGTCAGGTAAAAGAGAACGGTTTAAGGGAGTATACAGACTTTTATGCTTCCTCTTCCTAATGTTTATTATGTTGATGATGGCAGGATATGTTACTTTTACTCTTGACAAAATAACTTCAAGGTAGTAAACATGGAACCAATTCCTCATACATGACTTTCAAGGTTTTATGTACCAAATTTTGAAATACATTTCTCGATTTCTCGCAGAATGCCAGAGGGGCAGGAGAAGTTTGTGAGCATCGCGGACCTAGAAGGATGGGGATATGCCAACAGTGATGTACGCGGATACTTAGCGGCTCTTTCAATTCTGCAGGTTCGTACTTCAATCACATTACTTAAAGCAAAGCGAACAAAGATATATGGAGTGAAGATAGTGTTGGTTGGTTTCTGAACGTGCCGGGTTTTTTTGCAGGATTGCTATCCCGAGAGGCTGGGGAAGTTGTTCCTAGTTCATGTGCCTTACGTATTTATGACTGCATGGAAGGTCATTTACCCCTTCATTGATAGCAGAACTAAGAAGAAGGTGAGTTTCATGCGTGTTTGACAATAATTTTAGCGTTTTAAAAAGGTTATCTAATCGCAGCATTTAGCTTTTGCGCTTTCAAAGCCAATCTATACCATTAAAAATTATTCAAAATGTTGACGTTAATTGAAAATGTTGTTCCCAAACAAGGCCTTCTTCTAGTGCAGACGTCTCTGGGTAGCCAACATGATGCACCCTATTTGGTTTTATGAGTTTACTACCCACGTCCTTAGTGAACGTTTGTTGTCCTTTTTGCAGATCATTTTCGTTGAAAACAAGAAACTGAAGTCCACCCTCGTCCGAGATATCGATGAGAGTCAACTTCCAGAAATGTATGGAGGGAAACTACATTTAGTTCCCATTCAAGACTGCTGAAAGAGGAGATGCTAACCAAATCTATCGTGGCAGGTCACTCAAGGCACTCTTGATTTGTCAGTTTAACCAACACCTAGTATTTGTTGATATCTTCTTATGTAATGATGACAACAAACTACAAATTAGACAACCTAATATCCATGTGTGCACTCTTATGTTGTTGTCCATTGTCTTGTTTGCCTATGACTCTATAAAGTCACAAAAGTGTTATCTTTGCTACTGCACAAATGGATTTGCTGACACTTGCACTAACCACTTTACTGATGCGGTCTCCCACTTTCTCTGGATGTTATTTACTCTTTTATCATTTCAATTATATATAACTGATTTTCAATCTTTTCTGTATAAATAAATCTTAACCAAATAATTTTGGAATTAAAAATAAGTATGCCGATAGTTGCATAGGCTATGGCGACCTTGAAAATAGGGAGCACAAAGCTTGCCAAAACGTGAAACCCTAAAATAAAGGGTGCTTTTTGATCGACAAAGTTTTTTTGACCTTTGGAAAAAAATAACTTTAGAATGACCCAGATATTTCGGGGCATCTGCGATACCCCATTAGTAAAATTAATAATTCCTATACTTCTAATCTCCCTAATAAACCCTCCACCCTTACTCCCTATTTCAGCCCGCTCCCTCCTCTAGCAGGGGCTGAGGTGGAGGTAGGGCATTTAGGGGTCAAAGTGTATAAGAATTGTCAACTTTACAAATGACACTGTAAATGACGAGTCATTCTCAAGTCATTTTTTCTAAGGTCAAAGAATCATGGTGTTATTTGATGCGGAGTATGTTGATTGTACTCTTTTGACACCCAAGCTCTGATGTCATATTATGACACCAAAATATGACACCGAGGTAGGTGTCAAAAGAACATGACTCTTGTATTTTAGCCCAAATGAGAGATGATAGTATGATACCCATTCTCAAAATGAGCTACTATTAAACAATCTAATGATTCTACCCAAATGATATTTTGAAAAAATCTTTTGGAAATCAACCTACCCCTGCACTCCATGACCATGACTTCATTCTAGTAGTTCTCAGGATTTCTTGATACTAAAACAAGCCCTCTTTTTTAAAGAGGCATACCAAAGCCACCAAAAAAATGTTTCAATCAGATGTTTCGGCCTCCCGCGGGAAGGAAATATAATAAGAAAAACCACAACAAATCATATTGGGGTACATGAAATCTGTAAGTATTATTCACTGTTCTAGCAAATATTTCAAATTATTACAAACCTGAATCCAAAATCCGCTTGAGAATTAAGCAATTTGGGGGGGGGCAGCTGCATTATTCAAAACAGCATGCAATGTTCAAAACTAGTGTATGAAATAAAAATTTCGCAAATCCAAAGTAGTGACCTTTTTTCAGGGAAAGAAACGCGAGATTGAAGAGAAGTATTCGTCACGATCAAATAATCTAAGGCCCACTCAGCTTTCGTTACCTTGTGGGCATACACACAGCCTTTTCAACCGATAAGCAACTTGTTCTCATCCAAGAAAGTGTAGGTAGGTACCTCGAGGTTGTATGGGGCAGGCCCTTTGCGAATCCTGCCAGAGACATCATAGTGAGAGCCGTGGCATGGGCAGAACCAACCACCAAAGTCTCCAGCATTGGGCAAGGGTATGCACCCCAAATGTGTGCAGACTCCAATGACAACAAGCCATTCAGGATTCTTAACCCTCTCGATATCTTGCTGTGGGTCCCGGAGAGAGCCGACATCAACGGCGTTTGCTGTCTTGATGTCGTGCTCAGTCCGGCGCCTGATGAAGACAGGCTTCCCACGCCACTTGACTGTAACAGTCGTCCCGGGTTCAATGCTTGACAGGTCAACCTCAATAGAAGCAAGGGCAAGGACGTCCTTACTGGCAGACATGCTCAGGACAAATTTGAGTACCAAGAGGCGGACGAGTGACGCGTAAACAAACCTGCCACCTGTCAGGACAAAATAAGCAAATGCACGCTTGCTGGGGTCGCCAGGTGGATAACGCTCGTGATTGGAGTCGTCATAGACAATTTTAGAGCTAGGGTTCTTTATTGCAGCCAGTGTTGGTGGGAGATCTGAACCCTCTTTTGCAGGGGTCAGAGAAGCAGATGCATATCCTACAACAGTTTTGAAAGATTCAAAAAACAGTCACTGAGTGCAAATAATTGTTACAACCTAGCTAGATTTCAAGCTCCACTGCAACATCTGAATTTAATTAAGAAATGGTGCAAAAAATGATAGTGTAATTACTGGTAAGTATGAAATTGTTTGGTTATTTGGTTAGTGAAACCAGAGAAAATTAGATTTTATTTATCTTACTCTTCGGACCAGTTTGGCATCAAACACTATCTTATTTTACTAAGTTGTGCTAGCTCATTTATTGACATTGGAAAAAAATAAGAAATTACTTTTATTGAATTTCTGAAATAACAGATATTCAAAAATAATTTACATTTTATCTTCATTCTTAGATTCTCCCTCCACTCCATATTATAAGGCCTAATCTTGATTACTACATTTGACTGAATTAAAATTTAATAAAAAAATTGAAAGTAATATGAAATAAATGTTAGTAATTTAAAATTAAATAATGAAAAACTACACTAAAGTTTTATTCAGTTGCAGCAACTGATTTTGAATATCAAAAAAATGCTACGAGTATAAAAAAACAAGAGAACAAACGATGTTTGATTTGATAGTACAAAAGGTTGAACTGGAGAAATAAATGCACCAATGGGAGCATTGTTTTGTTTAGCTTATTAAGAAATATATTTTGATTTTTCCATATACAATTCAAAAAAATCGGTCAATTCAATCATTTCATTGATGATTTCTAAAAATTCGGCAATTCAAGCCATTTTAGGCATTACCAAACAAGCACTTATGCCCACAATTCCAGCTAAAAATCGCAATGACCCCCTAGAGTGTGTTAATGGAACTGAAGAATGTGGAGATATACGGAATTGATAGTTTTTAAGGTTTACTTTATTTCCCAAAGGTATCATTAAAGATGTGTGTCCCAGGGAGGGAAATTGATTAGCTTCTCCTCTTCCAAGCGTAATCAGCAAATAGACCAAACATAATTGAAGACATAACAAAGTGAAAAACAACACATAAAAGTACAAAAGAGTTTCGGGTAAGCTGAAAAACAAGTAAACATGTACTCCTTCAGTTCCGAACTAGAGTCATGATTGAAAAGTTATTTAGTTCCAAAAAATCATATTCGAACAAAAGAAGGTAATTTTCATTATATTTAATTTTTCAAAAAAAAAAAGAAACATCAGACAAGCTGAGTGTGCTAAACTTGGTTAAAACAACAAAAATAAATAAATATATAGCTGTATTTAATGATAAACCAAACTATACCTCGCTGTAATTAAAAAGTTTCACTTCAAACATGACCCGTTTATAAAAAGGAAGGAGTATATAACTAAAGCAACAAAACGTGCAAGCAAATGGCAGACTAACTCCTACCTACTGAACCTTTAACTAAAAGGGCAAAAAGTCTCTCTCCCTCTCTCCAAGGGAATGACCACAAACCCTATATTTGTGACCTCTCCCCACATCTGCTCAACTACAGTGCTCTATGCCTTCCTAACAGATGACATCACATCTCTCCAGAAAATACAGCTAAACCACCACTACCTTATTTCCTGAGTAATAGGTGTGGCTCTTAACTCTGCTCAGAAGATCACATTCAATATTTTGTCCAACATGATGCAACATCATATTCACCACAACATTGTCATCCCATCAACTTCTTATGTATGCCCTTCCAAAAAGTGGATTGTCTTGATTGTTGACCATCAAGACATGAAACCAAATTGGTCCAAAATCAAGTCAATTTCACGCTACTATGGCCATAATCACTCTCCCCCACAGTTTCATAGTATGCTTAGAAAGGTGTAGCTTGTTAACCTCCTCTTCTCTTCTTAATAAATGTTGCAGTTTATCCAGAAAGCAGTAGGCTTGTTTGTTTTGTTTTTAACCGGTCTTATTCGCTAAGCACACCCTTTTCCACAGTAAGTACCTTTAGCAGCATTTTCCAAGGTAAGCACTTCTTAATGAAGATTATGACTTTTGTAATGTATACTCCCTCTGTCCCTTTGAATTCTTTACACTTGTCATTTTTTGTCATCCTATTAGATTCTGTACATTTCCAAATTTAGCATTACTAAGGTTATAAAAGTCCATTTTACACTTGTGTACACCATACACATTATTTCTAATATTTCACTCACAATTTCACCCACGCAAGTTTAATCATTGTACTGTTGGGACATGTATAGTAAACAACATTCTTACATTAAAAAATCCAAAGGGACGGAGAGAGTATATGATTCTGAAAAAACATTTGTTTATAAATCACTGTTTTCAAACAGATTTCTTTCTCCAAAAAGACCTTTTTTCTCTAAACACTTGATCACAAAAAAAAACTAACTTTATGTTGTGATAGTTGTAGCAACTTTGTGCCTTGCTTTTGCTCTTATACATTGTCACCACCTAATGAATCTCTAATCCTCACGCATCTTGATTGCTTGGAAGATGATGTTAAAGTTGTTTGTAATGCATCAATGCAATTATCAAACAGCGATAAGAAATTTTCCCATTTATGTTAACTCCAAAACAGTACAACTTATCAATCAGTATAACATGCTAGCTTTGGTTTTGCATACCTCAACAGCTAAATATTTGGCATATTTTTTTGCTAATAACTATTATTTTATTTTCTCTGTGACTGTCTTTAAATAAACTTCAATTTTTAATTTACTACCATTGACCGATATTATTTTCAATTCTATTGACTTAAGTGTTGGACCAAAATTAAATACTAAAATTTATATATTTGAAAACTACATCAAAAGTTCTTTAAAACAATAGGTGACATGACTAATTAATTCTAACGAGTGATAAAAGTTACCAAGGAAAGAAGATACAGTTTGACTATGTAAATAGTAAAAGTAAAATTTATTTGACAGAGGGAATATTAAGAATCTACTTTGTCAGGTCCAGCAAAATATTGATATGGTTAAATGTATATGATCATACACACTAATAAATTGTCTGGAATAAATGAATAACTAATAAGCAAGAACCAACACACACACACATACATACATACATATCACATTGGCAGTCAGCACACACCATTTCAGCATTCTAATATTTTCTCAGTTATTTATTGTGTCAAGAATTAGTACTTGCTTAGTTTTTTTATTAATATGTCATAATATCGGAGAAAGAGAGCTTAAATTAAGTGTTCTTAATTCATTACTGCACACAGCAAGGTTGGGTATTATTGTTTAAAACAGAGTGACAGTATGTGCATTATGCAATAGCATTATAACACTTGAAATGCTATAATTAACATCTGTCATAAACATGGTAGAACAAAAAAGCTTGACAGCACTATAGGGCCATATTACAGTGCACATCTTATCCAGAAACAGACAAGATCATTTCCAGAATAAGGTCTAACCTTAAACCTTGTATTTACAGAATCTGTGCGTTGCAATTACAAGATCATTTCCAGAATCAGATCTAACCTTAATAAAAGAATATGTGAGTGTGAAAACTAATAAGACAAATTCCAAAAAAAAGTTATCAGCAAAAAAATGAATCAATTACCAAGAACCGGAACTGTAAAAATTATTTAAAAAGATTTGTGACTCCAAGAACATTGGAGCCGACTTTTATGATACAAATGATGTTGATTGGAACCGGTGATGATATCTCCATTCAACAACTAACCATCTACATACCATATTACTAGCTTGGATTCACATATCATTTCAACCTCAAAAGTCGCACCTTTAACACGTTAAATCATCTACAGACGCTGAATTACCTAAGATTACGAATAATCAATAAGACGTAGCAATAGAATCAGCAACAGCCACAGTCCAAATGGAAAAACGAAGATCAGGCAGAGAAAAAAGCAAACGGAGAAAAGATATAACCTCTCATTTGATCGAGGTACACAAATCCGATGGAAGGAGAATCCGATCTGGGAAGATTTCCATCGGACGAATCCCTGGAAACGACAAGAGGGTGTCGGGATGCGATTGACGGAGACGCCTGAGCAGCTGACATCCAGGACCATGATGGCAGAGACGATAACCTCCGACCTGCGATTCTCAACATCCTTGTCGCCTTGAGATTGATCCGCGCTTAGCTTCTCCGGATTTGTACCTTGAAATGGTCTCGGTTAGGGTTTCACGGTGACGCGGTCTTCTCGAATAACGTCAGGCAGGTGGTGCTCAGGACTTTTGAATAAGACGGTGGATTTATTTATTCTTTCGCTCCTCTCGTCTTCTATTTACGGAGTGCTTGGTGGAACCCAATGGCATTGATCAATTCATTTTATGGCATTGATCAATTCATTGATAGAACCCAATGGTCACACTTTGAATCTAGTTCAAGTCTCATTTACGTGACTGCTAAAATATTAAATACACCTATGTTTGGAAATAGGTCAAATAGCTTTAGCAATTAGCGTAAGCGTTTTGAAAAAACTATCTACGGGCAGCGTTTAGCGTTAGCATTTTCAAAGTAATCTGCATCGTTAAAATTTTATCCAAAACGCTAACGCTCATCTCTAACGATATTCCCAAGCAGGTCCTAAATACACTTTATTATGTATAAATATGTTATTGTTTAAAAAAATTATATAAACTTTATTGACTTTAGGAAATATCTATCAAATACTATATTTAGAAATTATTCAGTAATTATTTCATTTTATTACTATTAAAAAAACTTATATAAATTTTAATTCTGAAATTATGACATCTGTTATTTAAACTTTCCATTAATTAAAACTAGTTTTTACCTCGTGCTTCGCACAGGCTCGCATACTTTTTTTTATAAATATTGCTATAAAATTGTTACTCCGTATTATATTAAAAAAATAAAACTTAATAACTCTTAAAGTTGTTCAATCACAATGTCTATTGATGAAATACATAAATATTATACACGCATGTACATATGAAATGTAATGCATTAACTATTTCTAAATAACTCTGTTAGACATTTCATTTTTGGAGATATCGTGGCATGCGAGGGAATGATGTATTCATTAATTTCTCTATGACTCTTATTATTTTACACTTTGACTAAATAAATATATAATTTTGATAGAAAATTGTATTTTAATTTTTTAAGGAAAAGTTTGAATTTTTTGTTTTATTTTGCCATCTTTGTGTATGAAATAAAATAGTGAACACAAATATATGTATGACTATTTAAGAATTATAATAACATTTTGTATATTTTTTAAAAGTTCAACTAATATATAAACTTTATATGAATTAAAATTTAATTGTATCTATTTTAATTTTTTAATAATAATATGACATGCATTATAAGTTTTTTTTAGAAATTTGGATATGATATTTTATTGTAGCTAGACTATTATTAGATGCGATTTTTTTTGTGAAAAAAAATAAATTTTAACAAAAAATTCCTATGCTCTAAAATTTATATATAATACCCCGGAGTGGTTTAAAGTAGCTAGACTATTAGATACGGTACTTTATATAATTATTTTTTTGAAAGGTTATAAAAAGAAAATATGGTGATATACTAAATATGCACATATACATATATATACTCCATAATTTTTAACTACTAAATATAGTATTTTTAATAGTAGATACAAATTAAAATAATGATGCAAATGTATTGTATTTCATATAAATCTATATTTTTAGAATGGAATAAAAAGAGAAAATGGTGTAAAAATTCATACAAAGTGTTTTCTTTTAAAATTTAAAAAAGTATATATAACCTTTGAAAAAAGTAATTAAATAATTAATAAGACATTAAAATATATATTTTAAAATGATGAAAGACATATTAGTATAACAATTAGAGGATGAAAAGTTTTATGTATACAAATTTGTTGTAATTAAATACAATAATCGTGCATAGTTTTTAAATAAAAAATATACTAATAAATGCCATGTGGACCAATGAAATAATGACATTATGCCGTGTGGATAAAAAAATTTGTCATGTCATATGTCACGTGTCTTTACCACAACTAAAGAACTCTCTTTTACATATATACTAGTACTAGTATTTTGACCCGTGCCATGCACGGGGTCAAACGATTTTTTTGTCGATTTTTATTTTTTTCTATGTAATATTTTTTGCGGAAAAGAAAATAAATTTCTTACGTGATTCTTAATACTATATACATCAACTTCAAAGTAGAATAAATAATATTCGAATAATTGAAAGTGTACAAAACAGAGACTTATTAAAATTCAAATTTTTTGAAAGACTTCAGAGTATACAACATTTTTTGTATGGTTCTAAGGGTTTCTATTGTCATCTAAAATAAATATTTTTAATCATGTATTTGTCTTCACTCGTAAAGCAACAACATAAAATTGACCATAAGTCAATACTGACTTAGTTAAAATAATCTAACAAAAGATAATGTTTCACCTTAACTTTTGTTAATAGTCATAGCAAAACATAAAACTATTGGGAATTGTCTTTTTTGAAACTTTAGGGGGTAGCCTTGGATCAAATGGCACCAAATTTATTTGAGGCATGTAAACCTTTTCCCCGTCTCGATTTCTCGAAACACGATTGCACAATTATCATTTTTTGCAGGTATTCAACGATTAATCTTGTACCATTACACAATCCAAATAACATAATCAGTACCCTTTTTTCAAAACTATTTTTTTGGTTTGGCATCCCTAAACATCCGAGCATTTGATTTCATTCAAAAATTTCAATGTTATCCAATCAATATCAACACCCACATTGGCATCTGCTTGACATTAAGAATCATAACTCAAATACTCCTTTTTCATCACTGGGAATGAGTAATAGGACAAACTCATTTACCATTTCAACAACTTCGAGAGTGGGTGTTAATAGTGTCATATCCTAAAAAAGAATATTTTTTCATATTCTCCAATAAGTTCGAATAAGTGAACTCTAGTACTATACTCTTGAAAGGATAACTTATGTCAAGAATCAAGAATCCGGGCGGAATTTCAACGTCAGCAATTCCATCAATCACCTGACCAAGCTTTTCATCTCCAATTTTGATTATCCAATCAGAAAAAACTTGTGTATCCATATCTGCGTAAGAGGACATAGATGAATGCAATATCATATTCTTGGTCAACGTAAAAACTATACAATACAACTACAATTTTGAATAATTCATGGTAGCACCTACGATTTTCTCACTCGAAGCTCTTGTAAATTTGGAAGGATCTGGCGAAAATCACTTCCGAGTACTAATATTTTCCCTCCGAATGGTTCATTTCTAGAGTTATTATTATAGAACCTCATTATATCTCTCATTTTGTGATCCAATGCCTCAAAAGCAAATCTATTCATCACACATCCTTCATCTCAAACAATTTCGCTTGCTTGTTAGATTAATTCTGCTTTTGGACCCCCTTGTTTGATGGCACACGTTGAGCACTCATTTAAAGGCAAAGGGATTGAGAATCTCGAATGTGTTGTCCTTCCACCAGGCAAAGGCAATGATGCAATGCCACTGTATGCAACATTCAAAACAGCCCTACATACCATTTGATCTTGAGAAGTAGACATTGGTTTCTTTATAAATGCTTTTCGAAATCTCCCATAACCATATACAAAAAATAAACCTCCTCTTTCAGATACCAGACTTCCATTATCACATAAGATATCTTTCTTTGATCTTCATTCATCGTAGATAAATATCCTCTAAAATCAGAAATTATTTTGAAATCTATTAAGTAGACTATCATCTATCTAGAAATGACATACCACTGAACTCTTTTAAAAATATAATCCCTCCGTGGCTCCGTCCCATAAAGTCAGTCTCGTTTTGAAAAATTTGTGTCCCTTAAAGTTCGTCTCATTTCTATTAAAAAACCACTTTTATCCCTTACTTTTTCCTACCATACCTATTACATCATACCTTTTTCATAATAATCTACTCATCACCTCATACTTTTACTCATCACATCAAGGATATTTTTTGAAAGTCAACCCAAAATTATCTCTCTTTATTTTACCACTTTAGTCAAACCGTCCTAATCTTTATGAGACAGAGGGAGTATAATTTTGATATTATTTTCTAACTTTTTCTTTACTTTATAATAAGGTAAGGTATGATGTGCAGGATAAAAGATTTTAGGGTGTACCTTTTTTTCTAATTTGAAAAGTTTAATGGGACGTCTTTTTTTTTGTATTTGAAAAGTTTTATGGGTTGGATGTAGTATAATTTTCTTCAAATAATTAAGGTTATTTATTTATATTAGGTTTCCCAAAAAAAAATTACTTAAGTAGTCAACATTGCGTAATCATTTTTTCAAAAATATCTTCAATAATTCTAAAATTAACCCCTTTTACATTTTTTGACAATACAATTATATCAATTATTTTCGTTGGTTTAACGCATTGAAAGTCTTATTTCAATCTTTGAATTTTGTTTTAAACATATTAATGATTCTCGACAAATTCTATGGTGGACTTAAGGTCTACCATGGACCTACATATGAGCAAAATAAATATTTCTTTATTACTTTAATAAGCATTTGTTTTTATAAATAAAAAAATTTAAAAAAATATTTTTTTATGTGAGAAGGTCCATAAAAATAATTTGCACTCAAGGTGCACCAAAGAAACACTCATGATTCTCTCTCTATTGAACATTATGATTAAGTGTCCACTTTGGATATTGTAATTTTCACAATTAAAAAATGCCTAGAATAAAATTTTTAATTATTTTTAAAATTATCAAATATTAGGTGTTAGAATAAACAATAACAAAAGATGAAAGTAAACTCAAATGACAATAATAGTTAGGAGGGGGCATATTGAGGTAGAAGTCAAAATAACTAATTTTGATACTTTTTTATATTTTACTTCTATAATAGTCTTTCTCTTTTTAAACTTTTCAATTTGTTCTAACTTAAACGTATTATTATTATTATTTAATGGAAGAATTAATTTACATAAAAAATAAATTAAACATATTTTATCAATAGAAAGAACTATTGTATTTTTTCCATTGTACTCATTATAATTAATCAAAATACATTAGAAAAAGTTAATAATTACAGATAATTATCTTATCATTATTCTACTTCGTAATTATATTCTAGCTGCCGTATAAGGTATATATTAGGCAAATTAATTAGAATTGATCATTCCATATTTTAATATAAAAGTGTCAAGTCATTAAAGTAATCAAAGGTGGCAGATGACTCATAAAAAACTTGTCAAGTAGACCCACCACATGTCAACATTCTTTGAACCCGAGTCTCAAATATTATAATAAAGGATTCTAACCCGTGCGACGCACGGG